GTTCTCTTAGAATGCCTCTTGGCCACCCCATCTTGGTCAGCTTTTATTCATCAAAACTCAACCCCTTTGTCACCTTCTCCAGGAAGCCTTCCAAGCAAGACCCCTTTCCATACTGAGTTAACGACCCTGCTAGTCCCTTCCTGCTCCAGTATATACCTCAGGGTGGAAATACCTTCCTAGTCCCTGCCTTCTCCCTGGAAGGGGAGCTGCTAAGGTCAGAGGACAGAGCTGTGCCCAGGGAGGCCCTGTGCTTGCAGGCTGTACCCTGCTGACCGCATCTTCCTACCAGGAAGTTGATGAATATCGCCTTCAACGACATGAACCCCTTCCCCATGAAGCAGCTGCAGCAGCTGCGGGCAGCCCACCGGGAACGGCTGGAGGCCGAGCTACGGGAGCTGGAGCGGCTGAAGGCCGAGTACATGGAGAGGAGGGCGTCCTGGGGCAGAACGATGCCCGAGAGCTATGCCAGCGAGGAGGATGGGGAGGGCGAGGCCTGACCTGGCCCCTCACCTCCCAAAGCCCTTCTCACCTGGATGAGCAAGCCCCCGGAGGTCAGGCCGCATGACCCTCAGGACATTTCTGGGAAGCCACTGGTTGGCAATGTCACATGTGTCACATACATGCACACACAAAGCACTTTAGCCCGTGGCAGGCGAGAGCATGGGGTCCCCTGGGGTGTCTCCTCAGTATATCCACAGAAACTTCCATAAAGCACCATTACTGTTGAAAACAGCCCTGGAATTCAACCTGCTCTGTCACCAGTGTTCCCGGATGGCCGGGGGACCAGGCTGAGCCACCACCGGGACCTTCGGCTCTGGACCTAGGCTCTGGTGATGTGGGTGGGGCCTGCTCTTCAAGGTGTGTGTCTCTAGGTAGCAGCTACTCTGCAGTGCCCATGGGCCTTGCAGGTCTTCCCATGTACCAGGACTCATCCCCAGAGCCAGCTTGGGGAACATGGTATGGGGCTGGACGACAAGCACTGCTTCGGGTCCCCACAGATCGCAGGGCCAGCTTTCCTGCTCACTGGAGTGACCAGTAGTACCCTCTCCCCTGGATTGGCAGGCAAGGGCAGCACGCAGGGGTTTATGGCCCTGTCCTGTATCAGTCCTTGGCCCTTCTCAGCTGAATGGGCCCCACCCCATTCCCCAAGGCGGGGCCAAAGCAGCACAAGGGATTTGGGTGACATTTTCTTGTGTGGGCTAGTTCTGGGGCTTGAAGTCAGGGCCTGAGCTCTATCCCTGTGCTGCTTTTGCTCAAGGCTAGTGCTCTACCACTTGAGCCCATAACTCTACTTCTGGCTTTCTGCTGGAGGTAAGAGTCTTCCCAGCCCAGGCTGGCTTTGGACTGCAATCCTCAGGTCTCAGTCTCCTGAGTAGCTAGGGTGACAGACATGAGCCACCACATCCAACTATGGTGACATTCTTAAAGCAATCCTGTATCACTCCTCTGGGGAGGCTCTTCTAGAAGCTTCCAGGCTCTTAAGTGAGCTGCTTCCTTCCTCATACCTCCCGTGGAGGCTCCTGCCCCGGACTGGGCCATACCTAAACGCAGATAGCCCCTCCTGCCACCCAGGGTGTGAACTAGAGGGCACCCAGCTTTCCCCATGCCAGGCTCAGCACTGCTCCACATATACACAGCTCCTATGACCAGAGCTCCATCCGGTCCCTGTACACACGCTACCCCAGGACTTGCCTGCTTTTTTTTTTTTTTTTTTTTAATGCATCTGCTGAGGTTCTTCCACCACAAGACAGTGTGGATGAAGGGTGCTGGGCTGGGGGTCCTGGCTGTACCCCACTGGCTGGACACTGAAAGCCTAAGATCACTATGCTGACTAAGGAATCAACCGCACAGGGCAGGCAAGAGGGAGGGCGCAGGTGAGGCTGGCGCACGGCCCAGTGTGGGGTTTTCCTGGCAGTAGGCAGTCACCCCCCAAAGGAGACAGCCACGAGGACCGGGGTCTCTGACCTCAGCCTGAGATCCAGATCCCTCCATCAGCAGCAGCCCAGCTTCTCCGTTTCTTTCTTTTGCTCCTCCATCCTTCTGCGTTCCCCTTATCCTCTTCCTGTCCTCCTCCTCCTGTTCCTTCCTCTCTCCACTCTTCTTCAGGCTGGGCTGGCCTGTGGCCTCTTGTAGATACCTGCGTGAAGCTAGCTCCAAGCAAAGGAAAACAGAATCCTAGCACTCAGGAAGCTGAGACAGAAGGGTCTTCAAGGCCCACTGGAACCCCACATGGGCCACATGGATACACCTTGTCTCAAAAAACAAACAGCAAAAACCCATGCCTGGTGCTGGTGGCTTACACCTATAATCCCAGCTACTCAGAAGGCTTGAGATCTGAGAATCATAGTTTGAAGCCAGCTTGGGCAGGAATGTCCATCAGATTTTTATCTCCAATTAATCAGCAAAAAGCCAGAAGAACAACTGGTTCAAATGGTAGAACCTTGAGCACAAAAGCTCAGGAATAGTGCCTCAGGCCTTAGTTTAAGCCCCAGGACCAGCACACAAAAAAAGGAGGTGTAGAGGAGAAGCAAAGAAAAAGGAATTAGAATTGTCGGTCAAACTAGAATTGTAGCCATACCCTTTTCATCAGAGGTCTGTCCACAGACAGCAGAGGTGGAGGAGGGGTATGCAGAGGATGCTGGGCCTGCTGCTAATGCTGCTCCAAGGGGCCTGCCCACCTCCTGGACGGCCACTGGAGCCCACCCCTGGTATCAGATTCCAGGCCCTGCACCACAGCTGTTGCCCCTTCCCCAGGGGCTGCTGCCTTCCAGACTGGAGGATCTGATCCCCACAGCCATAGCCCTCCCACCCTCCACCCCCTCCCCAGGGCAGGGACAGACTTCCCGCTCGAAGCATCCCTACCTGGTAAACTGAGGTCCACAGAGGAGGAAAGTCGCCCAGGGGAACCTCCTCTCATTAAAGGGACTGGAGGACTCTAGAATACCGTATACCCCCTTCCACAGAGTGTCCAACAGACCTTCACCCTGGCATTGTCTTCTCTCAGCCCTCTCCCCCATGGGCACAGAGCCACAGCATTGAAAAGCTCCAGAGCAGGTAGGTAAATGGAGACTGAATCATGTACAGACACAGCTACACATACACACACACACATACACACACACCCTGAACAAGATGTTGACCCATGTGTGACAGAGTAAACAAAGATGGCTGTGCTGATGCCCTGGGAAGGAGGGGAGGACATACTGACCAGTCTATCCCAGTCAATACTAAGGCCCACTAGCAGGTGCTGACAGATGGCTCAGCCTTGGAGTCAGATGTGCTGCCTGATACCCAATCCAGATCCTGGCTAGCTCATGGGTCCACTCAGGACTCAGTTTCCCTGTGTGTGTGTGTGTGTGTGTGTGTGTGTGTGTGTGTGTTTTGCTGGTACTGGGGCTTGAACTCAGGCCCTCTCATTCTTGTTTAGCTTTTTTGCTTAAGGCTGGCACTCTACCACTTAAGCCACATCTCTACCTCTGTCATCTTGCTGGTTAATTGGATATGAGTCTCTTGGTTTCCCTGCCCAGGCTGGCTTCGAATCCTGATCCACAGATCTCAGCCTCCTAAGTAGCTAACGTTAAAGGTGTGAGCCACCAGCACCCAGCCTCCCAAGGGTGCAATTCAGATGGTCCGGACCGCCATCCAGGCTAGACCAAGAGAATTAGAAGAAGGATAGAAAAGCCCTCCCATGCACATGTGTGTGGACACACACACACACCTCTCTGGAAGGTCCCAGCTCTTCCGCAAAGCGGTCCCTGTCAAGCCAGCCTTACCCCAGACAGTAATGGCCTGTAACTCCATTGCACAAGCCTGGCAAGGACAGAAGATGATTCTGGAAGAGCCTACCAGGTGGAGGGGATGATGTGAGCAAGAAGATGATTCTGGAAGAGCCTACCAGGTGGAGGGGATGATGTGAGCAAGGGGGGTCTGCAGTGAGTCAGGACATTGAGGTGCTCGGTGTGGCTCCTCTCTCTACCCTCCTGGAAACCAAACAATCATGGAATTCTCACCACTGCTGGAGTGCCCAAATACTGAGCCCATAAACCATCCTGGGTGCTGGGAGCACTTCACCCAATGGGGGCCCCTTTGGATCCAGTCCTGAGCCTCTGAGGCAGACGCAGCACTGTCTCCTGAAACACCCAAGGCCAGCCAGCTCACCGTTGAGTTCAGAGACCCAGGCACTGACTGACCCTGGCATCTCTATAAAGAGGTCATCAGCAGCTCGCCAGTACCTAGCCATTCTGTTTTCCTCTCTATGAAATGGGGTTATGAGTAATGGCCGGATAAAATGTAAGAAAGTACACACCGTTGCAGAGCATGCTTGCTTATTCTCTCAACAACCATGAAGTGAGGGTCTGCCGTGTGCAGGGGGCTGATCTGAGCTCTGAGCTGAACCACAAAAACAAGAGCTCTTTCCAGGGGGGTGCGGGGCGGGGATTGCGCTGCCTAGGGTGGAATTCCCGTTCGCTGTGTGATCTCGAGCTGCGTGCAGGTAAAATGGGTGTGTGCTCCGGCAGTGCCCGGCTCAGAGGTGTTCGGCGGGGTTATCAGAGCGCCCTCCCCCCCCTGCCCCCCCCCCCCGGCTCCCCCGCGGGCGCTAAGCTGGGGAGGCTTGCAGCAGCGCCCCCTCCTGGCCGTCGGGGGAAGGACGCGCTTCCCGGAGCCTAGGTTCCTCTGAACCAGTCCTCGGCCCCCAATGCAGGTGCGGTACAGTCTCCATTTCACGGTGGCGTAAACTGAGGCTCGAGCTGGTCGCTCCCCCTTGCCCTGAGCCACGTGCGAGGGAAGCCGGACGTGCAACCAGGCGGGTCTGGCGGGCCCCACCCTTGCGGGGTCTCGTGCACCCCGCCCCGACTCTGCGGGACGCGGGCGCGCGCCGGCGTGCAGAACGCGCGTGAGCGCGCCCAGGCCGGGAGCGCGGCGGGCAGACGGGCAAGGGGCGTGGTCGGCGTCGGCCCCGCCCACGCCGGCCCCGCCCTGCCCCAGCCCCGCCCGCCAGGCCGCGCCGGGAGGCGGCGGCGCCGGGCGCGGGGACTCAGCGGGCGGCGCGCAGCGCGGAGCGGGAGTGGGACGCCGCCGCCGCCGCCACCTGCGGGGCCGTCAGCAAGGTAGGGCGGCCGCGCCCACGCGGGCTGCGCGGAGGGGCGTCGGGCGGACCCAGCGCGCTGCGCCCCCGCTCCTCCCCCGGCGGCCGCTCCCGGAGACGCAGGGATGCTGGGCTCGGCGCGCCGCGGGGACCCGGCTTCCAGCCCCCCGCGTGACCTTGCACAAAGCCCCGCTCCTCCCCGGGCCTCAGTTTCCCCCATCGGGAGAGCGGGCGCAGTGCGGCCCCCTCCTCAGCGAGCGGTTGCGGGTTCTGGGCACGCAGAGCACCGCCCGCCCCTCCCGGTGCGGGGAGGTGGGGAGGCGGCTCGCCCTGGGCGCGGCCAGCCGGCCGGGCAGGCCCCCTGGTGGCCCGGTGACACCCCCCCCCCCTCACCTGGCTGGGTGACCAGCTGGGCCTCCGGCTGCCCGCGAAGGAAAACAAGGCGGAGAAGCCTCCCCAGATCCCCGCAGGGCGATCTGGGCTGGCGGGTGCGGGGTGCCGCGTGCACTCGCCGAGACTGGCCTAGGCTGGGGCTGGAGGAGGCCAGCGCGGGCAGTGGCCAGACCCTCCGCCACAGATCCGCCCGGCACAGACCCAGGCGGACCCTCACCTGCATTTGAGGTCGGGGTAGAGCTCCTGGTGCATCTCCTGGAGCCCACTTCAGTGCTTCAGCCAGGTGGGACAGAGTGATGGCTGCACTTGGAGCAACAGCACCAGGGGGAGCGGGGCGCGGAGGGGGGGGGGGGTGATGTCTGCATGGGGTTGGTGCCTGGGAGGCACTGTGGTTCCAAGCTCTCTGGATAAGCAAGACCACTGGAAGGTCTTGCTGGCCCTTGCACACTGATGGGGATGGGGAGCTCACTGGCTGCAACAGCTGGAAACCACTTCCCACCCTACTTCTGCCTCTAGTCCCCACCCTGGGGCAGTGATCTCGTGCCTTCACCCTCCAGGCAGAATAGTCCCAACTGCCAGAGTCCCTGGTCAGAACCTAAGGTGAGAAAAAGGGGATAACGTTTCCGCTCCCAGAGCTGGAGTTACTGAGCACCTTTTAGGGCAGACCCCACTAGTGTGTCAGGACTGGAACCCTGAACTTCTGGTGCCTCCAGCCACCTCTTGTCAGGTATAAAGTGAGGGGTGGAGCCAGCCAGTCTCCAGGCTCTCCCTGCCCAGGAAGGCCTTTCCCCCACTTCCTAATACCTGTCCTGATTAAGGAGTACCTTCTAGAAATCAGTTCCAAGTCTTCCCCTCTTTCATACCCTTCATGACCCCACCCCTCACTCAGGGCCTTTCTTGTACCTTGGGCAGGAGATTAGGCAGAGGCTGGATGAGAATTTGTAGCATGATGGGATTCCTGGGCTGAAGCAGAGCCAGCATGACCCTGCCCTGTGGCCTGGTGGAGCTGCCCAAGACCTGGAGTTGGACCACAAATGAGGGTTATTATCCCCTCATAAAAGCAGACTAAGTATATGTGCTGCCCCAAAGCACAGGCTTAAGTGCTACCTGTGTCCCTGTCATCTGCACATGTGTGGTACCTGGGGCCATGCTCCTGCCTAGCTGGTTCATGCCACCATGGGCTGCTGTAGGAATATGTCAGGTTCTGGTTACTAAAAAGTCATCCTATTTGGGGGCGGGGGGAATAGTGGGATTTGAACTCAGGCCTTTGCACAGGCAGTCTACTTGAGCGACACCTCCAATCATCTTTGCTATAGGTTATGACTGTTATTATTATTATTATTTAGATAAGGTCTTATACTTTTATCCTCTAAAGTCTCAGGAGTAGCTGGTACCATGGGCTTGCCACACTCAGCTATACTGACACTTTTTTTTTTTTAATGTACCATAGAATTATGTATTATTGGACTCCTGAAACAGATTTTTAGAAACCATCTACGCAACCTCCTTTGTTTTATAGACATTTGCTCCCAAAGGATGTGACAGGCCAAAGGTCACACAGCAAACCAGCTACAGAGCCCCAGGAATCCTAATCCCAAGATCGCAATGGCAATGATATAGGGCTTTGCCATGGCATTGACATTACTGGGTAATTGGCAGCCCAGAGCGAAAGTCCATGAGCATGGAATTGCCCTGCCCTTTGCTCTCAGGCAACTCCTTCAGGGACTTTGATACCCCAGGATAGTGGCAAGAAAGACACCCAGGTAGCACCATCACGAGTAAGAAGTTATTTTACAGTGAAGATGTTTTCACTCTGCTAACTCTTGCATTTCATTTTCAAAGGAGCCACCAGGAAGCTAGCTACCTTACCAGAGTGTGGCTGGCAGAAGCAATAATCCAGAGGAAAGGCCATGAGACTAATGGCAACCGTCATAGATCTAGAATAGGCTTCCTCTCTGCCCCACAGGGTGTGGTTAGGTCAGCCATTTTGCTCACTGGACTTCACTTTCCCCATCTGTAGAATGGGCACAGGCTCGGTGATGGCTGAGTATGTCTAGTGCTGGCAACGAGGGTTAGCCTTCGCAAGTCTGTGTCAGAGCCTTCTGCGGGAAGGGAAATGGACTCAGGATAACAAAAGGTTTCAGCCTGTCCCCAAGGGGTTTTCTTCTTTAGCTTTTGCTCTTTTCAAAACTGGGATTGTTTCAGTTTTTTTTATTTTGTTTTTGTGGGTTTTTTTTTAATCTTCAGGGAGACTGGGACAGTGCCACAGGGCCCTGTTATTTTCAGTCCTTGGCTGGAGTAGAGCCCTGTCAGAATAGGGAGGGATGCACTGGGCTTCAGCCCTGTGCTGGATAAACATTTTTGGGAGGGGGGGGTGGGGGGGAAGGGGTATTTTGGTGTGCCTGTCAGGAGTGGGTGGAAGCCGGCTAAACCATGCAAAATAGCCAATAGTTGGCGTTTTGTGTGTGTGTGTGTGTGTGTGTGTGTGTGTGTGTGTGTGTGTGTGTGTGTGTGTGTGTCAAGTGGCTTGAACTTTCGAGCTTGGCTTTGTCCCTCAGCTTTTTTGCTCAAGGCTAGTACTCTTCCACTGTGAGCCACAGTGCCCCTTCCAGTTTTGTGGTAGAAAATGGAAGGGTCTCACGGCCTTTCCTGCCCAGGCTGGCTTCAAACTGCAATCCTCAGATCTCAGCCTCATGAGTAGCTAGATTACAGGCCTGAGCCACTAGTGCCCAGCTTTGACCATTTATTTTATTTTGTTTATTTTTGGTCATGGGGCTTGAACTCTGCCTGGGTGCTGTCCCTGAGCAATTCAGCTCCAAGTAAGCGCTCTACCACTTGAGCCACAGCGCCACTTCTAGTTTTCTGGTGGTTATTTGGAGATAAGAGTCTCAGAGACTTTCCTGTCCTGGCTGGCTTTGAACTGCATTCCTCAGATCTCAGCCTCCTGAGTAGCTAGGATTAAAGGCATGAGCCACTGGCGCCCAGTTCATTTTTTGACTTATTAAAAAAACAATAATTTCATTTGGTTCATCCTAAGTGGAAAAAGGTATAATTAAGGATGTAATTACTGATCCTTGCTGTAACTGAGTGGTGAGTGCAGACAGGAGGGTGTGATCGTGAATCTGGAGTAGTCACGGAGTTGGTATGAGACTGCCTTGAAGAATCAATAATAATAATAATAACAACAGTGATGATGGTGATGACCATCCCTTGACTCTCTGTCTGGATCTGCTTTTGTCCTGGGGACTTTGTATTTCACTCATTGAGCCATTCTGCCATGTTTCCCAATGACTCCCTTGTGTTAAGCACTTCCTAGAAGCCAGGGTGACAGTAGAGTTCGATAGTACACAACAACCCCAGAGGTCTGCCCCGAAGAAGCTTAAATCAGATAGGGAGAAAAGGCAAACAGAAAAATGAACAAGAAGGGGGGGGGGGCTAAAGGTATGGGAGGGGGGATAGATCAGAGGATTACACTTTTCAGTCAGCTTTTGAATTGACTTGGGCAAAGGCTTGAAGGAGTGAGCAAGTGGGGCTAGTTGCTGGGGAAAAGCCATTCAGGTACAGGAGCAACCAGCCAGTGCACAAGTCCTGAGGTAGAGCTGTGCCTGGAAGAGCAGGCTGGAACAGAGTGGAGAAGGAGGAGGCAGGTCAGAGGGCCATGGTCCACCTTGTCTAACCCCCTCCAGCATGGCATGGAATCCTACAGGTTTGTGAAGGAGGTACTATTTTTATTCCTCTTTTTTTTCCAGTGAAGAAAGCAAAGGTACCCATAGGTGAAATCACGCTGGCCAGTGATTTCCCCTTCTCTTAGCCCTGATGATCAGCATAAACACTTTGCCATGCTAGCTTTCAGCCTTTGTTCCTACTGCTTCCACTTTGCAGATGCAAACTGAGGCCAGGAAGGTTGGCAGCTCTGGGGGTTGGGGGAGCGGGGGATGGGCTGCTATGTTCTGGCTACTTTCCTTCCCAGCCCAAGATCTCCATTTCTGCTCCCAGTCCAAGATCTCCGTTTCTGCTCCCATACACAGACCTATGAGTGGCTTCTCTTAAGACTCCCACATCCTCCACCAATCTCCAACATCATCTGATAGTCAGGGCAGTGTGGCCAATGGAAGTAGGGCGTTGTCTAATGTCTGACAAGGTCAGGTACGCAGAGGTGTCACTCACAGAGTGGACTCGCTGAGAGCTGGTTCTGGTTCCTGTGCTATTGCCTCCACATCTGGGGTTTGCAGGAGGCTGGCCAGTGTTGGGACAGTATCCACCCCCTCCCCAACCCCCGGAAGGTGTGGTGACTACAAGGCATCCTGGATCTGTCCCCAGGCCTAAAAGTCTTATTCCTCCAACACCCAGATGATGGGGGGGAGGGGGGAGGCGGCTCTGTGAAGCCATGGCCCCTGGGAGTTGCCTTCTTGCTCTGAGCGTGTTCTTTCCAGCTGTCAGCTGCCTGGGATTCAGCCCAGGCCTCCAGCCCCAGCTCACCTGCTGGCTGACCTTGGGTCAGGATCTCTCTGTACCTCCCCTCCTGCAAAGTGGCATCATAATGGTGCCAGCCACAGGCTGAAGTGAGATGTGTGTCAGGTGTTGGTAAGGCCGGGCGTGGCACAGGCTGCTCAGCAGATGGGCAGCTCC